CGGGAGGCGAGGCCGCGGGCCGGTCTGGCGCCTCGGGGCGGGAGGACGCCGCCGCCGCGCGTGATGCGGGGCTCGCCCCAGAAGCGCCCCACCCCGCCGGCTGCGTCGCCGGGAGGCGGGCCCCCTCGGCGCGGAAGGGCTCGCCGGGGGCGGTGCGAGGAGCCCGGCAGCCCCCCGGGGCCGGCTGCGGAGTGCGCCCGCCCACCCGCCCCACCCGGTGGGAGCAGGGGCCGAGCCGAGCGCCCCCTCCCCGGCCGGGCACCTGGGCCCCACCTCTGCGGCAGGCCGGGCTCCAGGCTCGAGCTGCGGGGGCCGGGGCCGGGGCACGGCCGCCTCCCCCGGGGCGTGAGGGTGCCTTCCTGGTGCTGGGAAGCGGCTCCTCTCCCCGCGCCATGCCAGGCTCGGGGTGGCAGCCTTTCCTTCCAACAAGGGGAAGTTGGAGCTGAACGCCTTCTCCCTGTTGAACCGCACTTGCTCTCCCCCTTTCATTAACTGGGCAGGATTTGGGCTCGGATCTGTTCGGCACCTGTCAAGGGGGCTTCCGGGGAATGAACCTGCTTGATTTGTAATAAATCCATCTCCCCCCCGCACCCCCCATGCGCACACACAGTTGAGGGCTGAGATGTTGGATACCTGGTAGTTTCTAGGCCTTGGGGCCCCGCCTTTTTGGAAAGCAGAGTTGGGGGGGGGGGCTTGCATGGCTTGCAAAGGGACCGTTGCAACATTGCGCAGCTCTCCTCGGATGCAAGGCTGTGGCTGTTAGGCTGCCATCAGGGCCTCGAGATTCTGATGCTGTTCCTCCTGTCCTGTCCTGTCCTGTGCACAACAAGGTCAAGGTAGAGGCCATCTGACTCTTCTTGAGAAAGGAGTTTGAATTCTCTCCTTGGCTCCAAGGTATCTGAGGCTGAAGATGGCCCTTTTCTCAGGACTGAAGGGGAACCTTGCCCCTGAAGCTGGAGTGGTCTCAGGCATCTTGAAACATTAGCCTAACGAGGGGGAGTGCGGGCCACCTTCTGACTAGGGCAGGAATTCACAAGCTGTAATACCCAAAGGGGGCTGGGACTGGCGGTGAGTTTTGTGGGGACAAGAATGCCTCTCCTGCTGGCATCTGTTTTTCTGTGACAGGCAGGCTGCTTGCTCTCGGTTTGCTGGGTGCTGCTTCTGTGCAAGCTCCTTTTTCCCGAAGGACCCTGCCCCAGCCCAACAGCCCTCTTTGTCGAATCGCTGTTTAATCAGTTCATTCATTCATTCATTTTCATGCCGCCCCCAGTAGCCTGAAGGCCATCTGGGCAGTTAACGAAAATGGTAAAACAGCCTAAGTTTAAAACACCTTGTGCTTTGTTGTGGTGTCCTGTGAGAATATGCTCGGGGGAGCTGCTTGCCCCCAAGTCCCCGTTTTTCATCAGGAGGTCTCTGGTCCTGCTGGAAAAAGAAAATGAAGGGAACATGACTGGATGTTTTGGATCCTTGCGTAGCCGGGTGATGACGTAATCTTTTTGTAAGCATGTACTGAAGGAGGATCGATATGGCATGTGGGCAGCATCTACAGGCAGTAAGAGAAAGAGCAGGTGCTACAGCGCTTGCCTGCGTGCCCTTGAGGCGCCAAGCTGCGTTCCGGGTCTTTGCCATGCCGGGAGGGAGTTGCTCCGGCCACCCCTGCCCCTGAAGGGAGTAGCCTCGTGTTTGGCCAGTGCTGGAAGGAGAGAAGGCCGTTGTCCTTTCAAAGCTCTTTTTCCTTGCCAGCTGTGACGGGTGAAAGCGCACAACTGCTTACCAGGTTGCTGTCCCTCGAAATGGTCCTGAAACGAGGCGAACCCTTTTCAAAGGTGCTGCCACGCCAGGGCACTGTATGCGGAGCAAATACGTATCTGCCCAGGCACCTCCCGATCAGTGGTTGACTCCCTTGCGAGGTGGATGACGGAACTGGGGTCGTTCACGCCCAAAGGCCAAGTTGCCTCTCTGGCATTTCGTTGTTTCTCGCTGCCAGCGCAGTGTACCAGTGGCCAGCCTTGCAGTGTATCTCCCTCACTCCACCCAAATTCTTTTTGGGGGGTTAATTCCCCCCCCGATTCACAGGTATTGGTATGCATGTTTTAGATCAAAGCTGTTTACATGGCTGAAATTATATATGTAATTATATATGGGTACTCATCCCCACTGTCTAAGCCTCTGGGTTGTTTCTGACTTTCCCCTGTATTTTTCTCATTGTGTGTACATGTAACACCAGTTATCTCATTTTCAGATTAGCTGATTTCTGTCATCTTTCCGGTAGCTTGTTAACACAAATTTGACATACAGGAAGAAGTTTATGAGCCATTTGCTTTAGGTTTCTTTTCACTTCGCATAGAATGTGCCTTAACTTGTGGTGCTCAGTTGCATCTTGAGGAATCGGAAATATTTCCTGTTCCTTTATTAGTAACTATTGTTGTTATGTGTCATCGAGTTGTCTCTGCCTCATGGTGACCCCTATGAATGAGAGCCCTCTGAAATGCTCTATCCATGACAGCCCTGCTTAGCTGGTCTAAATTCAAGACTGGGCCTTCCTTTATGGAATCAGTCCATCTGTTATTTGATTTTCCTTTTCTTCTTTTGCCTTTGACTTTCCCTGGTTTGATCGTCTTCTCCAAAGAGTCCTGCCTTCTAACAACTAGGCTTACCATATGTCAATTTATTGGCCATTTTCCATATGCCATTTTGGATGCACCACTTCCCTTTTTCTATTACTTGGTAGAAAGTTAAGCTTTCTTCTGCTTAAACAGTAGTAAACGTTAAATGGATATTCAATGTCTTTTGGCCTGCACAAGCCTCTTGATTTATTTTTGTCATTTTAGTTCTGCATTCTTCTTCCCTTTACCAAATGTTTCAACCTCACAATACTTAATCTCAGAGGAATCTTTATGACTATTGGAGAGCTCGTACTTTATTCAGACATTTAAAATTTGCTTTTGTATGTGTGCTTCACAGTAACAGGGAAAAGCTGTCCTTCTGTAATGTCCTGAGTTTTTCAGATTCCTGTTAAATAATGATATGTAGAGCTTCGCTTGGCAGTGGCAAGTCCAAAATTCTGGTTGGCACTTCCAGGTTGGTTCAGGTCACTCCTCTCCTATCTGAAAAGGACTGCATCGGTTGACAGATGGCTTTTTGGCCTGATACTTGCCTTCACAAATGTAAATGACCCTGGGCCCAAATGCTTGAAAGCGCTCCTCTTTTTATATGAGCCTGCCTCTGCCTTAACGTCCTTCATTAGCTCCTTACTCTGCTTTCCATTGGAAGTATGCTACATAAGCAGAATGAGAGGGCTTCCTTTGTGGTGGCACCCTGACTTGGCAGAACTCCCTGGAAAGCTATGCAGGGCATTTTATTAACATTCTTTAAGGACGTTAAGATATGTCTTTTAACCTAGGAATTTTAATTAGTCGAACATTTTAGTCTGCATTTGCCGTTGAGACTGTAATTAATTTTTTTTCTGTTGTCTCTTGGTATGGTTGTTGGTTGTATCTTATTTGGTTTTAATTTAATGGCTTTGAGAATGACATGTGATGAAGGAAGCATAGAATTATTATTGGGTATCATTGGTATCATATTTTATAAAATTATAAAAGGCATCATATTTTACCTAATTTCAAATTATTTTAATTGTATTGAGATTTTTAGTAAGTTTACACAAATTATTTTAACAAATAAATTCTTGCCAGTTCAAATAAAGTGTCCGTTGTCATATCCTCCACATACACAATCATAATAGTTATCTGCACGCTCGTCTTGGACATTCGGCTTGTGAATTGTTTCTGGTGGTTGCAGTATTGGTTTAGACAGCATATGCTACTCACCTGAGGCTTGCACATTCAGCTCACCACTCGACTGTGATTTTGGCTTCTGGGCGAAAGAGGGACGCTTATGCACATCCTCGATCTCCTGATGCGGCTCTGGCAGGTGGCTTTACCAGAATCGTTTGTTTGATTATGAAAATGAAAGCAGCAGTTGTGTCGCCGACGCATTCAGAATGAATCGTGAAACTGCTCGTAACGCTATGGCTTGTGTTAGTCAAATGGCAGTATCTAAGTCATTGGATGGATTAAGCAAGTATTGGCCAAAACGGGATTGCCTGAGGTAAAACCAGTCCTCCAGAGGCTCCAGCATCGCCAGAAGCATGGTGCATTGGCCACAGGGCAACGGTTTTGTGGAACACCCTAACGACGATGCACGGGCCGGGCCATACGGAGGCAAGGGTGCGCACGGCTGCCCGGCTGCTCATTCCCAGAATGCAGAATAGCCGAGCAACACCCGATCTGGCCATGTGCAAAGTGGCTTTTCCCCTTAGTGAGTGAGTGTTTAAACTTCAGGTGTGCTGCCAAGTCTTCTATTATTCCTTTTATTTGTTTATCATTAAACTTATATCCTGCTGTATTGATCCAAGGGCCCTCTAAGCTGATTACAATGAGATAAAAATACGGTATAGCAATAAAAGCGATCGATTGAAACGCACAACAGTAGACAAAAGAACAATAAAATAAAACAGTACACAGTTGAGGGATAATAATTTATAACAGTGTAGATTAAAACAGCGATATCACTAAAATTATCAAAATAAAATTAGTTATTAAAATGCCTAGAAAATAAAGTTGTTTTCACCTGGCACCAAAAAGATTGTAATGAGGGTGCCAGCTATATGATACCAACTTTACCTTTAAAAGGTATCATATTTTACCTATTTTCAAATTATTTCAATTGTATTGAGATTTTTAGTAAGTTTACAAGCCCCTTTGAATT